TTGGTGTACGCCGCTTTATCCAGGGCCTCGATCGCCGCCTTGACGTACACCGTCTTACCGGTACCCGTAGGCCCGGCGAACAGCACGTGCCGCCCGTGGGTGGCCAGCAGAGTCATCAGCCACGTGTACCGCACGGTGTCCACAGTGGGCACGATGATCTCATTGAAGGACGCCGACTCGGGAATGGGGCCGTCCAGGGGGGTAACAGCGGCGGCGCCGCCTTCAGCTGCGGCGGCGGCGGCGGCAGCGGCGCTGATCGACGGCGGCTCCATCCAGTGCCGCCATGCGCCGCGGGACTTGTCCCACACGTAGTCGTACACCAGACCGTCCTGCATGCGCGTGGGGTCGGAGGGTGAGGAGTGGTGGGGAGCGAATAAGATGGGGGGCCGGGGTGGGGTGGTGGGAAGGGTGCGACGCAGGTAACAGGGCGACGGCTTAGCATCGCAGGCAGGCAGGGTTTCATTCCTGCGCTGGTACCTTGGGTGGAGGTACGACAATCTTGAAGCCGGGGTCGATAATCTCCAGCCCGGGGCCCAGGTCAAAGTCAGTGCGGGTCATCTTACGATCCACCTGCAGACAGACGGACGGACGGACGGACGATGGGCGGTACGGCACATAACGCGGCACATCATCTGGTTCCAGGTCTGTTCCGAATACCATACTCCAATGGAATTGTGAATCAGGTCCATTCGTATCACCCGTCAGCCAGTGTGCTTTGTGTGCTGTAGAACTGGATTTCGGGATTAAGGCTATTAGAAATGGATTTAAACATTTTTTACAAGTATATATATACATACTTTTATACATATGTGTGTGTACATATGTGCATATATATGTGTGTGTACATGTGTATATGTATGCGTGTATATACATACGTAAATGTATGTATGTCCCAGTGGTGATCTCCCTCCTGACCTTCTCTCGTTTCCCCTTCCCCCCGTCACACACACACACACACACACACCACAACTCCGTGAACGAAAGCCTCCCTCCCTCTCTCTCTCTCTGTGAAAGCGACCGCGCACTCACCGACCCCTCCAGCAGCTTGCGCACAAAGTCGTTGAACTGGGCTCGCCCATCCGTGTCCGTGGTGGCGCCCACCGACCACACCAGTGCGAACACAAAGATGCCGTCCAGCTGTTTGAGCACCTCGCGTGAGCCCATCTGGGCCACCTTGGAGGACAGGGCCGGGAGCGACAGGGGCCCGGAGGGAACCGGGAGGAGAAGGAGGAGGGAAGGAGGGGAGGAGAGGGCGGGGGCGGGGGCGGGGGGGGGGCTCAAGGGGGAAAGAACGGTGTGGAATGCGGGGAAGGCTCGGGGAAGGGGGCGGCATGACGAGAGTACCAATAGGACTGGTCGTTATGGAGGTGGTGGTTGGGGTTCATCATGTAGGCCACAGCACCGTGCCAACAAACAACAACACACACGACACAATGTTGCAGCAACGTTTCACCCGCCGGCTCCATTGCGCCGACCCGCATACGCTGGTGTGATGCTAGGGGTCGTATCACCAAGCCACCAACGCACACAACACATGCACACAGACAGGCATTCACAACGGAAGCGACAAACACACATGCCTACACACAAAAATGGACATCACACTGTATATACGTATATGATTTCCTTACTGCTCAGGGTACATGCATGCATGAATGAATCATACATGAATGCACATACGAAGGCTTATAGGGCACACCCCGCACACACCCCAAATACACACACACACACACCACACACACACACCACACACGCCACACGCAGACACCCCTACCTGCTTGGGGTCCTTCAGCTCGTCCATCATGGAGGTCATGATGTGCATCAGACTGTTGGGCAGGCTGATATCCGCGGTGGGCACCAGCTCACGGCAGTTCTTGCGGACAAAGGCCTGCGGGAGGCGCGTGTACATACGTGTGTGCACGTGAGGGGGTCCGGGCGGCGCAGGGAGGGGAGGGGGATACCGTCACGACGCAGACGACGGCAAGAATGTTTCCACATCCACATCCACATCGTGAACCGAACAAACATTCAGGAGCAGAGCGGTACAGCCCAACTGCCAGGTATCGCCGATCCGTCCGGTCGGTTACCCCGCTGTAGCGCCACCCAATCATTCATTCATTAAGTCAGTAAGTCACCCGTTCATTCATCCCTGCACGCAGGAGGAGAAGGAGGAGGAGAAGGAGGAGGAGAAGGAGGAGGTTGTTCTCACCACGCAGGGGTCCACCAGCCACTCGGACAGCGTCATGATGTGTGCCTTGGCGTCATCGCTTAGACAGGCGGGCAGTGTGGCCACCCAGCTGTCACGAAGCGGCCTGGGGAGGGTGGAAAGCGGGGGGCCGGGGTAGGGAGGTAGGGTAGGGGGGTAGGGAATCATATGTAGAAGTCCCGAGCACCGAATAAGCAGCTGCCGACGTCACGAGCGCTAACTGCCGCAAAGAGGGGATTGAGGTGGGGAGGGAGGGAGGGAGGACACATGCGCGCTCAGACTGCAAGACAGATACACACACAAGTTTAGCGGTGTGGCGCCGGAAACAGGTAGCTCAAGTAGGTAGCTCAATTCCTACCATGGTGGGCAGGGCAAGGAATGGATGCCCCACCATGGCAGGAATGCCCCACTGAGAGGGTGCCGTCCCCAAGTGCGATCCACCCAGCGCCGGTGTTGCCTCTCTCCGTGTTATACGCTTGCTTGTCTGTCTGTCCGTCCACCTGCTCGTCAACATGCCTACCTGCCTTCATTCACATGACCAAGCAGTCCATGTATCCTGCTAGCCGCACTTCCCAGATGCCCGTTCCCCGCCCCGCCCCACCCTTCCCTCACCTCCAGCCCAGCTGCTGTGGCTCCACATACACCATGCCGCAGCGGGATACGGTGGCCGGGGAGGCCACCGCGAGGTCCTGAACCTCGAAGATCATGTTCTGAAGGAGAGGGGAGGAACAGCCCGGCAATCTTCGTTTACGAAACCCGCAAACCCCAGTGCCCCCGCCCACATAAGGGCATTCAGACATCATTATCATCATCATCACATTATTACTTTGAAAATGACAGTGATTATAATTTACCCATCATTAACATGAGCAGCAGCAGCAGCATCTTACCATAGAGGCGCTCATCTGGATGATCTCTCCGCTGTTGAGACAGAGCTTCTTGTTGTCGTCCAACACCGTGTTCATGTTCTCAATCCACACCGCGTCCACCGGGCCGTCGAACAGGACCCACTTGCGGTCCGGACTGGGTGAGGTTGGGGAGGGAAATGGGATATATGGGTCGGAGATCAAGACCCGAGCCGCGAAAGGAAAGACAGATAGCAAATACAACGACGGCGGAAGCCGCAACCAAGAAGAACATTGAAACCAACCAGCCAACCAACCAACCGGGAAAGAGAGGGGATAGTTACTACTACCAAGGAGACCGGTATCGTCGCATGCACTACCCAGGCTTGCAGCGCCTGAAGGCCGGGGAAGAGAGGAAGGACGCAGCCTTGCCAATCGCAATCTACACCAGCACAATCTAGCCAGTCGCAACAAGTCGGCAGCAAACACGGGTCGCCGTCCTGGGGGTAACTCACGTGGTCTCGTTGGCGGCCTCCCTGAACAGCTTTGCCAGGACACCGTCCTTCCATTCGTGGCTGCGGCAGAGGAGGGGGAGCAACAGGGGGTGTGGGACGGGAGTGAAGTCCGCAGTCCGCAGTCAGGAGTGTGCGTTGGGGATTCCAGAAACGTCCGGGCGGCGAGTAGTCAGGACAAATGACGGACGGCACCCACGTACGGAGAGCCGGGACACTGCAGACTAGGTTTGACAATCTGGAGCTCCCAAATAACCGAGGTGAGGTGAGGCGAGGCGAGGTGACCCCAAAGGAGGAAGGACTTATGGAAAGGCCGCGCACCTGACGGGATCGAATTGGCCGTACAGCTGGCCCATGGTGATGGACTTGGGGTTCATGATGCGCAGCTGGACGCTGTAATCGGGAAGGAGGAGGCGGGGGAGGGGGGAATGGGGGGGAGGTCAAAAGGGACCCGGTCAACGGGATTAAAAAACCTCCATCCTTCAAACCGCCATTCACATTGCAACGCAAAACGCTTTGCACGGCACCGCGGGGTTGAGCAAGACCCTTTCCTTATGCCACGGCCCTCCTCCACGTCCTCTACGCCCCCTTCCTTACAGCCCTATGTGCACAGTGGCTGGGCCTTCTTCCCTCGCCGCTCACCGGTGCTCCTCCATGAGCCCTGCCGCCTCCAGATCTCCCAACGAGCCCGCCAGAGCCCGGTAGATGGACGTCTTGGCACCGTAGCTGTAGCCCACGAGCATCAGACCGTGCCGTACAAGGATCATCTCGTAGAGCTGATGGGCCTTATCCAGAAACACGGAGGTAGGCTGTGTACAGCCGGGATATGGCAAGGGATCAGGCGGAAGCCAGTAAGCCAGAAATCGGGAGGCTGCGGTAAGGAGGAGGCCCAGGCGAAGTGTGTGGCGGAGGCGCACGACCCCGGCGGACCCTTCCAACCCGACCCTGGTCCCATCCACCCATCCCAGGAGATCGGGCCACAAGTGGGGGTCATACGTACAGGGGCAGGCAGTCCAGGTAGGAAGAGGCGCGCAGGGCAACAAGGTTACAGACACGGTTATCATTATCCCAGCATCCTGAAGCCACAACTCGCGACCGGCATGCAGCGGCAGCCCTCCCACCCCCGAAAACCCCGCGTACCTGCAGATTCAGCTTGCCGCAATTGGTCTTGAGGCGCTCGTCCAGAGCCGAATAGTCGGTGGCGGGCAGATCTACCCCAGGAAACAGGTCAGACAGGATGCCCGCAAACAGCGGCAAGTCGGGAGCCAGGAACTTGGGCTCGTTCACATCCTTGATGGAGCGAAGCATCAGAACGTCCTGAAAGCAACAAAGCCGAAACCAAAGCGGGTGGGTGTGTGGGGTGGGTGGGGAGAGACGACGGTGAAATGACCGTGGCGAAGGTGGAGTGAGGTGGCGGAGGAGGCGGTAGCAACATGCGAAGTGGAGAGGGGTTCGGGAAATACAACGCCGATCTGGCAAAGAAAGGAAAGGGAAAGGAAAGGGCGCCGGGCGCGTAGTGCAACCAAGTCAATCAGGCAACGGAATGAGGCATTGGCTGCGGCCAGCCCAAGTGTGCTAATGGCAAAGCACGCGTGCAAGAGGGCTCCTGGCTGGCAAGAGGATGATGCAGGGGACAGCGTTGCACAATCCCAGCCCTTAAATAGGGCCACCCAAAAGACGGGGCGGGAATGCAGCAAATTCGCAAAGCCAGGGTTGGCCTGTCGGTAAGGGCGAGTGCATGGGCGCACCTCAAGCGTATCCGGTGATCGCTGTTTGTTGGCCGCAGCAGCTCTCAGCACGGACATCACTGCACGCATGCCGTAGTCGTAGTGCGACTGGCTGGACAGCTGCTCGGAACACAGCCTGTAAGTGGCCACCAACTTGCGCGCCAAGTCGCGGGCCTGCAGACATAATAGGAAAAACGGACGGACCGACGGATGGACGGACAGTCGGTGATGGCGAAGGCGAGGGGAAGAGAAAGGAAGGGGAGCAAGCAAGGAAGGGGGAGCCAGCTAACAAGCAATAGGATGTGGGTGTGGGTGTGTAGGTGGATGCGGCACGTGCCCCCGGGTGGAGGCCTGGTCACCGGCAGGATTGGATTGGACCGGACTTTGCGGACCGGGCGGTCAGGGGTAGGGCGGTAAGGTGGTAACATGGGCTCACCTTGAGGTACCCACTGCTGTACAACATGATCTCAGAGATGAGCGCATAATCGGGAACCATCATCGCCACGCTACGGAACAGAGCCTTGAGGTTGTCCGGCAGCTCAGAGCGGCCCGCATATCCGGGGTTCATGGTAATGAAGACCGAGAACGTCGGCCGCAGGCTGAGCTTGGTGCCCTCGAACTCGAACGAGCTGACGCCGCTGGCCTTGGCCCGTTGCATCGTCAGGATCTGCAGGTGATGCGGAACACACACAGAGGCATAGCGAAATGGCACGGTAGGAAGGGCGTGGGAGGGAGCCAAGCGGGAAAGAAACACGGCCACGCCACCTAAAGCTGGTTCGTTTCAACCCCACATCAACCCCCACTCCCACACCTCCCACTTGCACCTCCCCTCTACACCCCGGCGGACGGCTCACAGGCCGACCCCACAGGGACCCCACCCCCCATCTCTTCCTGGCCTTCCACCGCACCTGCTGCGCAATGACGGACAGCACCTCCAGGTCGATGCGGTTGAACTCATCAAAGCAGGCCCAGGCGCCACTGCTGGCCAGGCCCTTGAAGAACTTGCCCATGGCCTGGAAAAGAGGCCCGGGGTATATGATTGGATAACGGGCAAATGAGGCTGCTTTCGAAACGGGTTCTCTGCAAGGTCTAAGCGCCAAGGTCATCACCGAGGCCGAAACCACAGCGAGCCAAAAAGCCTTGAGGTAGAGCTACGAACACCCCCATTCCGCCCTCCCTGCGACCTGTCTACCGGCTGAGGATTTCCTTCAAACGTCCTTCCTCCGTCTTGAACCCACTTGTGCAAGCTTCATCACCACCACCTGCCACCCCCACCCCCACTACCGCACAGACAGCAATCGCATACACAACATCCACCTGGTAGTCCAGACCATCAGAGCAATTGAACACCACGCACTGCATGGCGATGGCCTTGGCCAAGTCCTTGGTGGTCTCGGTCTTGCCCGTGCCGGCAGGACTGTGGGCAGGGGTGAGTGTGAGGGTGAGGGGGAAGAACGAGGGGTGAGGTAAGGCATGCTGGGACACTGACTCTGCCCCAAGGGTCAGGCCGCAAGGAAGGCAGCAGGTGGTTGTCTCACGTCGTTGAGTACGTGCACGTCCCCAAAAGGCAATGCGCGCGTGCACATCATCCCACACCCCAGGGGGCGCTCACCTACCCGCCCACAGATCCTTCACAGCCTGGCTGGATAGCTCATCGCGCCCCAACATGGCATTGTAAATCCCAACAAGCCCCGGCCGCCCACCATGGACCTCTGCCCCTAAACACCAACGCTTTCGCACCCATCCTGGCCCTGCTGGGCCTCCTCCGCCTCACCCCTCCGGCGCGCCTCCCAGGTTGAGGTGAAGCGCACCCATCAGCGTCCGGTAGCACCTGCAGCCGGAGAAGAAATATGGACGCGCGTTCACTGTCCGTCCAACAAGCGACAGCAGCTGCGAGCAGCATGCGGCTCTTGATCTTGGAAGTGAAATCCCAACCGTCCAGAGTGCGCATTTTGGCGTGGCTCATAACCCCTTAAGGCTCATACCCCTGTGCGCTGCTTGGTCCACGTTCCGCATATCCACGCGATGCGCAGCCCACCCAAGCGAAGCCGCTATACCGCACCTGTCCGTCAGCGGCGTGATAACCAGACGGGATCCGTTGCCCAGGTACTCATAGCCGTACTTAATCTGCGCGTTGATCATCCGTACAGTTACATCTCCGCCCTCCCAGCCGTAGCGCAGCTGACTGTTCCATGCAAAGTCGCTCTCCGCGGTGACGCCCGCGTTGGCCAGCTCCACCACCACGTCGCGCGCATGGACGTCAATGACGATGAGCGCCGACAGCGTCTTGCGGTCCAGCTTGGTCAGCTTGCCGCGCACCATGTTCACCACCTGGTAGGAAGGGAATGAGGGGGTGAGGGAGGGAGGGGGCTGTTAAGAGGGGAGCCGTGAAAGGGGTTGCGCACGGAGAGGAGAGGCGAATGGAGGGGTGTAAAGGAGAGAAAGGCAGACCACCCCAGACGGGCAGCCAAACGTGCACTCCGCACCGTACTACACCTTACGGCTTCACACCATAACATAACAACGCACTTTCTTTATGTTAGCTATGTATCATTTCGAACAGCTTTCGGCCCTGGCCCTTGGGCACGGCTCGTGTGGGCCCCCATGTTACACGTTTGGAGAGTAACGCAACTACTCAAGGTGTGAGAGACACACACACCATACCAAGGTGCACCGTGCCACACGGCAAGTATCAAGTTAGACCTTCAGACCTCACACACCGTTGTGCAGTAACCCCGCCCTACAGGCCTGCGACGCCACCCTGCCAGCTTCCCTTTCTCCACAACAGGCCAATTCGCCCCCACCTTCATCAGCTCGTCGGTACACTGCTGTGCGTAGTCCATGAGCGTGCCCTTGCTGATGGCGTCCCCCACTTCCTTGGTCCAGTACATGCAGTCCACACAGATGACGACCTGACCCGGCCAGGAGGTAACCCAGTTGATACGCATGCTCTTGGCGTAGTCGCCGTGAGACCGGCGGATGGTGTCCTGGACGGCGACGGGAGAGAAAGAATGTGCACGAGGGGAACGAGTAAGGGGGAGAGCAGCACGGGGCAGGGATGGGGAATTATGGTTACTATGGTTATGGTAATGGTTATGGCGGTGTCGAGGGGCCCCTCTAGAAAGGCGAGGGAGGGACGGGACAAGGGTGGAGGGGGGTTCTGCAAGGGCCCAAGTAGGGTGGCTGCTGACTCTTGACTGGGGTCGGGGGGTCATCGGGGCTCTTCCCCTACACACAACACGGCAAGCCATTGTCAGCGCCTCCTCCTCGCTGCCCGGTTCATCAGAACATAAAAAGAAGGGGGACGCGCACGCTCAGATCCCACCTTGAGCGTTGTGCGCATGGCAAGCTCGCACTCGATCAACCAGCGCTCCACATTGCCCTGCGAGTCCTGCGGGTTGAACTTGTCCTTGAAGGTCACCTTCTCGCCCTCCTCGCTGAACATGGCGGCTACCTGACCATCGGGCTGCGCGAGAGCGAGGCAAGGTGGGAAGGCGGGATGGGACGGAAGGCGGTTAGTTAAGACGGGGATGTGGGTTGTCGGAAGTAGGGAACTGGAGACGGACCTAGAGACCAGCACCCATCATGTGCCGTATGCCATGCGCGCAGGTATGCCCCCACCAGCAGCAGCTGCTGCTACTGGTTGCTCAACGCGCGCCAACACGACGCGACCCGGTGCGAATAGACGCGGGATTGGAACCTCGTGCGCGCACGCGCTTACCTGGAACTCCAGCCCGTTGATGCCCTCGAAGATCTTTCGCAGGAAGGGCTGCACCCGGGTGGGGTCCTTGGTCTCGGACAGGATCTGCAGCGCAACAGCGGCAGCAGCGGGAACAGCGGTAACGTGGTGCAATCCAACAACGAGAAACAACGACGACAACAACGGCAATCCAGGTAGTTTACAGGTACCAATTCCCCCAAGAAAACCAATCTCCTCCTTTCCTGCTATCCCCACATCCCCCGCCAATGCAGACCAAGTCCCAGCGAATACGGACCTCCAGCAGTTCGTCGTTGGACAGGAAGTAGAAGCGCGGGAAGGCGAGACGCTTGGTCTCCAGGTAATCGTTGAGGCCCTTGGTCACCTGCTCCAACAGCTTGTTGGCCTCGGAGAGGGCCTTGACGGGGGGAAGAGGAACGTAAACGGTGACCGTGATAATGGATAAGTGGCATGGGTGGATAAGTCACGGGGTGGCTATAATGGTCAAGCTATGGTGGTTTTGGGTCAGCCGATTTAGACGTAAGAAAAACCACCGACTCAGGCAAGGGGGAAAAATTGGGAAGGGAAAGTCAAATGGGCGAATGATAAGCGAACCCCGACGTTGACCGAACGCCACGAGGCGAACATCAGGTGGAAGGGAGGGGAAACATGAACCATTACGCTCAGATAGAGACTCCCTCAGGTAGGAAGTCACAGCCCCGCTGGGTGAGGAGATCAGGGCGAAGAAGACGAGCCTTAGCTGAGCTCTCACCTTGAGTTGCTCGTCATCTGCACAAGTGGTGAGCACCTCGGCGTTCTTGGACAGCTTCTCCATGGTCCGTCGCCAGGTGTGGTCCACAGCCTAGGAATGAAGGAGAGGGGCGCGGTGGAGCGGGCCAGGGCAGGGCGAAAGGCAAAGTCAATGGCGGCGGGGGTTATGACTTAAACAGAGACTGGCATAAGCGACCGCGAAGAGCTCCCCCCCCTCTCTCTTGCTCACACCCGCCCAATTTTGCAACGCGAAGTCTGAGACCGAAGCCCTGTCCACGTATCCAGGCGACCGTTGCCTGGCGGCTTTCCGGCTGCCACCGTCTTTCTGACCCCCTGTGTACTCCGGCCAGCCCACAAAATAGCCACCGGGCCTGTTCATGCAAATTGTTATGACATGCTACCCCTGCTTTTTCACGGCATAATGACATGTACGCGCGCATGATCCGACGCACCTTGAACTTGCGACCTTCGTTGGGCATCTGCTGCATGATGTCTTCCGATCCAAAAATTGGTTCCAGGTACAGCCAGCCCTGCTGGCATCGCAGCCACTGGTCGAGAGTTTCCTGCAGGCAAAGCAGCGGGGAGGAAAGGCGTTAAGCAGCAAGACCAGAGTCGAGGTAGTGAGAGCGGCGCTCAGCGTGGGATCCGAATACAAGGTGCCGCGCACACACACACACACGATACTGTCAGTTCCGTACGAAAGGTGGTGAGTGGCGCAAAACCTTAATAAAATTATCCCGCGTACTAATAGTTTGCTTTTCAGCACAGTCTCCTTTTAACGCAAGGACGCCTGCAGGGAAACACGCAAACACGCACGCACACATACATACATACACACGAACACACATCTGACTCATTTTTTCGAGTCTCACTCAAACGCACCACATACCTGGGTGAGTGACAGCTTAGCCTCCCACAGCCGCACGCGATCCTCAAACGGCCCGATATACGGCGATGCGCGCATGGACTGCGTCTTGACGATCTGGTCGTCCAGCAGCATCTGCACATCGTCCAGCGCACGCAGGATGGTGGTGCCGGTGGAGCGCCAGGGCATGGTGTCGAACACCACACCCGCCCAGTCTGCCTGCATCTTGTCCAGAGCCCTCTCCAAGGAGTACTGTTGGCCAAATGGGAGGGAGGGCGGGAGGAAGCGTGGGTGGGAGGGTGGGAGGGAGGGTGGGTGGGAGGGAGGGCGGGAGGTGGGTGGGTGGGAGCGTGGGTGGGAGGGTGGGAGGGAGGGCGGGAGGTGCGTGTGGGCCATTGGGCGCAAGGCAGGGGGACAGGGAGAAAAAGATAATGGAACATGGACGGACCGGCGCGGGGCAGGGCAGGGCCCTAAGCCCGACACTAACCCTGGCCTGTGTGAAATGCGCTGCAGTTTACGTCCCATTTTGTGGCGATGTTATGGAGGCGTGCGGCCCCAAAGCTCTTGAGGCTTACGCCGGATGAACTCCCTTAGTGCTACCGGAGTCATTGAAAGGGGCTAGGAGGGCACATGCCGGTATCTGAACTGGATGGTAGCATCTCCATGTCCTGGTAAGGGGACGCACGGCTGGTGTGGTTCAGTTAAGCCGCCGTTGAACCGGCAGATTCCGTTGGATGTCCCGGTGGTGGGTGCTAAACCTGACCGATCCATTGAATTCGGAGAAGTCGGCTGGGGTGACTGGATAAGGGTGCCCCGAAATACTGTGGAAGGCAGGGTTTCGCAGGGTAGCGGCCACGGGTGAAGATATGTCCTGAAGGCCCCCCTGTCCCACACATCATACACACGTACCTCCTTGCTCGCGTACTCGGCCACTTCCGCTATGGCCACCAGGTGCTTGGGCAGCCCCAGCTGCAGCGCCCGGCTGAGGCTGAAGCCCGCATCCGCACGCACGGGGAAGCCCGCGGCTGTGGAGATGCGCTCCCAGTGCCGGTCGCGGAGGCCGGGGTTGCGAAGGGCGGTGATGAGCGGCAGATGGACCTGCGGACAGAGGGGGAAGGGGACGATGGGGGGAAGGGGAAAGAAGCTTGGGGTCTTAGGGTGTTGGTTTGGGGTTGGTGGTTTGGGCATGTAAATCGATTGCCAGGTGAGGGTCGGCCAGGAATTCCGATACGTGAACCGAAAGGACATGAATTCCTGCTGCGGTGCGGTCGGGGTGGGGTTGGTGTGCATCTAGCTACAACTGGAGCTGCGTCCTTTATTATTATTATTATTATTCATACATATTACATACCAAACAAATCAGTGACATTATCCGTGATAGGGCTTGGGGCAGTAAGCTCTCACCCCGCAAGTAAATAAAGCCTAGTAGGCGCTTCTCCCCAGACCCCCAAAACACAAGCATATACCCTTCTATATACCCTTCTATATACCCTTCTACACATACCCACTCCCACCCCTTCACTTTAAAGACACTTTGTCATTTATAAATACACACACACACACACACACACACACACGAGTCCCCGGTTGGAAAATGAGAGCACTGTGGGCCGCCTCAGGGAGCACAGAATCCCTGATCTTGTTCACGCGGTTGTGTTAATTTTATCAAGACACACCCGGCTGCTGCCCACCTGGAAGTCCTCCAGCTTGGCCCGCACCGCCGCCACCACCTCCCCGGGTTCCTTGTCCAGTTGCTTAGCCAGCTTAGCGGTAGCTCTCCACCTGTGGACATACAGACATACATACACCCACACAGAAGGGAGGATGTGATAACGTGCATGCCGAATGTGCGGGAGAGGTGATGAACAGCACGAACAGCAGGATGACTGAGCGAGAGAGAGAGAGGAAATGTCCACCGCATATACAAACGTATAAACTCTTATGTCGAATATGCGGCATGCAAAGCCGCTTATGTGCTCTGCCGTTTGAGACGGGACCCATGGCTTGGAGCTGGAGAGCCAATTTGAATTTCTAGGATGTGTTCTTAGGATGTATTTTTAGGGGACTCCGCGGCTTGGGTGTGTCTGCAATATATTTTACAAGTCCCATAGGAGCCGCGTCAGCCGCGTCCCCAAGCCTAGCCACCCACCATCGGTCCACATCGGCCGCCACTGTCTCCGCGTCGATTTCCGTGAAGGGGCCGTCCAGCCACTCGGGCAGCGAACGCATGAACTCGGAGGCGATGCGCCATAAGTCGGCGGAGGGAGTGAACACCTGATGGCGTAGCGGGCAGCGAGTAGGGAATTGAGAACTGAGAAGAATGGGTTGGGTCCAATAAAAGGGGAAAGGAGTGAGCAGGGGTTGATTTGAGTTCAGGAAAAACGTCCAGCGGAAGTTGACTCTGTGTAAGCTATATTTTTAGGTTTGCGTTTTCGTTGTCCTGGCTTATCCCAGATCACCGCCCACGGAAAAAGGACACACACACACACACACACAAACGCACACAACAAAATGCACAAATGCACAAACAGATGCACGGACGCTGACCTTGCGAATTTCCTCCAGCACCGGGTACTCCGAGCGCGGCAGCCCAAAAATCTCCTCCCGATTGCCGTACAGATCCGCGAGATCCTGATATGATTTGAGCCGGCTGTCGATGTCCAGCACGGTGGCCATGCGGTCGTCGACCTGCTTCAGGTCGCCCAGCGTCACGAACCGCTCCACTTCCGCCTGCAGCTCAGCCAGGTCTGCCACCAGTGCCGCACTGTCGGCCTTGAGCTGCGACAAGTAGCGTCCGCGCCATCGAGCCAGCTGGCTGCGCACCTCGCTCAGCTCGCCCGCCAGGTCCAGCGGCCAGCGCAGCAGCCTCCAATGCGTGTCGGCCGCCTCGTTGGCCAGCTCATGCTGCGCCGCGTGCAGCATATCCGCCACCGCGCGGCTCTCCGCCACCAACGCTTCAAATTCCGGCATGCGGCCATCCACGCGTTCCACAAACTTGTCCAGCTCGTCAAGGGCCTCGGTGGAATCGGGGGCCTGGCGGAAAGTGAAGGGAAAGAGCAATTAAGGGAAGGGGGAGGAGGAGCTGTTCATTAGAAGGACAAAAATTTACATGTAATGGCTCTGCTTTTACGTGCTTTGCTTTCAACTTGCCCTCCTCTCTTCACGGGAAATGGGACAAGGAAAGGGCACCAAAGCGCGTTATGGATGCGAGACGGCCCAGCAGCCTGACAGCTCTCACGCCGCCTTTCCATCCTCTCACCATCGCGTGCCATCCCAGTCCATGAAGCCAAATCCGGAAAACCAATCCGACAGTCCAAGCCTGTCAGATAGCCACTCCACAAGCAGTTTCCATCCTTTCCCTATTTTCCCCGCCTACCTGATGCAGCCGCGCCACGATAGTCTCGAACTGCTCCACTGCTGCAACGTTGGCCGCGTGCCAACGGTCCGACTGCAGCGCGCCACGACGTGAAGTGAGGGAGGAGACGGCGGGGAAGAGGGAACGAAAGGACGCAAGGGAGGGGCAAAGAGAGATGCGCTGAGAAGGTGAAGGAATAAATAATTGCACACGGCCGTAGCGGCCACGGAAAGCTGCGACATCGCGCAAAAACAAGTCGAAGAGGAGCACAGCAGAGAGAGAGAGAGAGAGAGAGAGAGAGAGACAGAGAGCGGTTGAGAACACCGAAATTGCACGAACGCACTGAATGCCGCCGTCTTTGGCAACAGCCTCCCGGACGTGTCAGGGAGGCCACTTCTAGCCAGCTACGCTTCAACCCTGCCAAACAAGCCCCGTGCGGTGTCGACGCGTACCATGTCCCTTTCCTCGTTACACCCACCACTGGTGGAAGCGGAACGGCAGTGACCACAATGACGCATGTCTGTCCTTGGCGCTGGATGCCAACACTCCCCCAAGCTACAAACTCCGCGCACCCCACGCCCGCAGTCCTGGATTGCCTAGCCTCGGTTCGCTGCGACCCAAGCCTTCCCCAAGCCTTTCCCCCATCCGCACAGACCCTAGTAACCACCTCCCCTAACTCCCCCCACCTGCCAGCAGAGCAGCGTGCCGCGCAGCGCAGCCGCCTTGTCCGACAGCCACGTTTGCGCTCCCGTGCAGTCCACCGTGACCAGCCGGAACACCACCTGGCCCTCGCACTTGGCCGCCACCGCCGCACCCACAGCCGCCAGCCGCGCCACCTCGGCCTCCGTCTCAGCCAGGCTGTGGCCGCCCTCCTCCCACTCCGCCACGTATTGCCCCACGTCAACCGACACCAGCCATGCGAACTCGTCAAAGGAGGCCGCCAGGTCGGCGGGTGCAACCAGGTTCTGGTCGAATGGGTTGTGAGAAGGAAGGCAGTGTACGGGTTGGACGGAGCAAGGGGAACGAGGGTTAGCACCACATCCGACGAATCGTCAGAGTGGAGCTACCTTAGGCGATGTAATGTGAGAATACTACCGCAGTGTGTTCGGTAGTGCCTCGGTTGTGTCATGGTCTTGTCCGGGGCGCGATTGCCTTTCCTTATCCACTTGTCTTTCCCTCCTCCCCCTTCCCAGTCATGCGTCCAGCGCGGGTGCAGCTGGACGGCCGCGAGGTCCTCCTCACCTTGGACACAATGTCTCGCACCAGGTTCCTGCCCGTCACCGCCGCGGGGTCGGTGGCAGGGTCAACTGAGGGCAGGAACTGCTCGATGGCCATGTTGACAACCTTGACGGAGATGTCGTCGACCCTGGGGAATGAGGCCGCGGTAGCGAGGACGGGGTGGGACGTCAAGCAGGGTGGAGTGAGATAAGGAAGGGAAAAACGGGGGCGCCGTGCGGCGGCGTGGCCGTGTGGGTTGGAAAGAGGCCGAGGGCGCCGCGTGCCGGCTTGCGTGAGGATGTAAAGAGTGGAGGAAAGGAGGAAAAGAAAGGCTCATTTTTTCTCGTCTTTAAAAAACGAGAACACAGGAGCCTTTCTTTTCCTTTTCCTGCCATCGCGAACTGAAGGGGAAGCAACCTGGGAGGCCTCCAGGGAGATTCAAGGAGGCGGCGCGCGTTGAGCGAAGCGACGAGCAGAGCGGAATAGCAACGAGTGTCTGAAAGAGGCCATAATAAGAAAGCCACCACCAGGGACTTCACGGTGAGCCGGGGTTGCCCGGGAGCAGCTTTTCCCTCGAATCATGAAGGCTGCTCCCGAGCACACACGGCTTTGAGGTAAAACGTAGGCAGCGCAAATTCCCGAGATGGCTTCCCGACTTTCAACCTAGCGAAGGGAGAATGGCGAGGGGGTGACGCGATGTGTTGGAGAGGGTCTTACTTGGCTGTGGCCGTGATCATGTCGTCAAAGGTGGACACGATGGTGTTCTCCACCTCCTTGAGGTCCGGCACCAGCCGGATACCGCCATCCACCACCTAGCACAACGCCAAACGAGCAAAGGCAAGAGGCGGCATACAGCGGCAGCGGGTGCAGCGGGTGCAGCGGCAGGTAAGACCTAGCAATCAACAGGTCTTTGGCGGGTTAAAGGCCTAGCATGCGGTAGACCTCGAGCGACGGAAGCGCACTTGTTCAATATATGGAGTAATGCTCTACCACACCGCTGAGCCAGCGCATTAGCTGTCGCGTCATACGACTGTAGCATCGAAAAAAACATGTGTGCACGGCTGATTCTACATAACTCCCCCCAATGCCGCACTCTTGGCCAATGTCCTCAACCCGGAGCCCATAGGGGCCTTGCGCTGGCAGGTATTTCTTTTTTTCAACCCTAGCCCTCGGGGGCCCCCCCCCAAACCTGTAGTGCCACCAGCAGCAGCGGCGGCGGCCAGGCGGTGTGCAAGTCCTCCCCCCACTTGGAAAGCTCCGGATGCGTGCTCCGAAACCAAGCATTCGCCGACTCAACCTTACTCCCGCCGCCGTTGCCTGCACCGCCAAGCCATGCCACCGGTTGGCCATTGTTGTACGGATAACCCGCCACGGCGTGCTCGTCACCCGGCTGGATGTCGTACTGCTGCCAGAACTTGCAGCAGGCCTTGATGGACGAAAGTACGGCGGTACGGAGCTGGTCGGCCATCATGAGCGAAACCATTTTGATGAAGCGCATGACGGCGGCTTGGCTGAGGCCGAAGGGGTTGATGGTGTCAGCGGCGTTCTTGGGCAGGGTGCCTGTGAGCCCGGCCATGGCCGCCGCCTCCGCGGCCGCTAACGCCACGATCTCCGGGTCGTCGCCGGACAGGATGCGTTCCACAATCGCAATCACCTGCAACCACAACCGCAACCGCAACCGCAGCAGCCATGCCGCAGTGATTAGCTTTCCAATAATCGAATCCCATCCACTGATTGCACACGGTATACTGTACCTTACAGTACACGGCTTGTACACAGCTTGTGGTTGTGTGTGGATGGTGGTAAGGAGAAAGAAGGAAAGGAGGAAAGATAAGAGACGGAAACCCTAGACGCAGCAGGAGCGGCGCCAACTTACAGAAAGCCAGGTGATCACCCCGTTGTGGTCATGGGTGGTGCTGCATGACCCCACGCTTTCCCCCGAGACCTCCCCGTCCTGCCATACATCGACTGGGCGCCCTCTTTAATAGCCCTCTCCGCACCCAGCGACCCTTCCTTCTGGACGCATCGTCCGGTTCTCGCAATCCTCCCCTTATCGGCCCCCGCCCTCGGCCGTATCGCAGGCTCACGCCGGGGATTTCCGTACCCGGCCGCTTCCCCCTGGGAGGCAACACTCTGTCGCTGTGCCCACCCCCTCCCCCGGCAAGGTGGCACCAGCCGAAGGAGACTCTTCCGTCTGGAAAGAGGCCCTTTCCCCCTCTGCGTGTCCTTACCTTTATGGTCCAGTCGCTCGTGAGCATGTCAGCCATGAGGTCGCAGTGGTTGCGCTGCATCCGGGCGTAGTCGCCCAGTCGTGCAGGGAGCGGCAGCTCACTGCGAGGCGAGGCGAACAGTCCGCCGAGGCAGGCCATCCGCAGACACGTGCGCAAGCGTGTCAGGAGCTTCACAAGTAAAGAAGTATCCCGGTATCCGCCACCGCAATCGCAATTGCAATGGCTCCTGTTCGGAAAGAATGCCACATCAACCCCTCCTAAACGCACCTCAAACCTCGAGATCCCTCAGCCCCTCAGCCCTCTGCCCAACCCGCATGTACAACTGAACCCAGCGGCAGCTAATCCCTATCACGCCACTTCACCTCAACCTCACCCTAGGTCTGTGACGGTGAGTGCCACGCTGCTGATGTCCAGGTCCCGGTACATCTGCTGCAGCGCCGCCAGCAGCGCCGGGTTGCCCACCACCGCGCCGCGCTTCACGTCCGTCAGTAGGAGCTCAAACGCTTCCCTGCACACGAACATAACACGCGAGAGAGAAGTGCGGGACTAAGGACCGAAGGGCGGACTGAGGACCGAGGTCCGTGCAGGGGAAGTCCGTTGACGAAGGACTCCGGACTACGTGTGACGGCCTGAAGACTTGTCAGGGAGTTCGTTACGCATTCGGGGCATGCACGAGCGAGAGAGGAAAACTGGCCATGAGGAGTGCCTTATGCAGCCAACACTTTTTCAGCAACGCTGTCCACGCTACAACCCCTCGCGCGGGCCTCAGAGTCGTTCCCATTCTTTCGCAGCTTGAGTCCAACTCGCGGATGCAGAGACGGCCAACCGCCTAGGGAAAGATCCGTTCAGCGGGGCGCCGGTCAGGTAACCGCGTATCAACTCTCACAATGCCCGTAAGAAATGCACTGCCAGGCCGCCTTGTGCAGGGTAACATGTACCATGTGTGCCGCGTTTCCCTTACTTACTACCGCGTGTAGGGCCACCCCCCCCACGGCAGCAGACCACACGCGCGATGGTCCCCCCCAAGTGGCCGATGCTTCGCGGCGGCCTCACCTGGCGACATCCTGAGCCACCCGCTTGCTGCCCTCCGCTGCGGGGTGGTCCGGCTGGTTGGCCAGCACGACACGACCGGGGGGCAGCGCTGCCAGGTCCACACAGCCCTGCAGACCCACGGGTCAGGTCACATCAGGCCCACACATGATGGCGACAACAGACGACATCACGCCAATCAACAAAGCCTTGCTATTCGCCATCCATTTGAAACCTAAGCGGGCTGTGTTCCCGCCCACCACATTACCAGATGACCGGATGACACGTAATCGACATCCCTGCTCCCCACCCTGTTGTGGCGCTCGGCGGGCTTGCTCACTTGCTGGCGTCCAGCACCAGAGGGTAACCCCGCGCCGCCTCTTCACTGAGGCTCGGCGACCGGACCACCGGCCCGTCTCTTTCAACACGCACATGGCGATAATCATTCGCCCGCTTCCGCCTACCAAAGTCAACCCCACGGTGTCCCCACGGCGCCTATACTCTCCGCATCCAGGTGGCCCAACTGCCCCCGGACAGCGACATGGGGCGCTAAGACCCCGACCTCGCGACACGTGCCTGTGGCGGTACGAGAATGCGGCTGTGGCGGCGGATGGGCTGAATGTTGGCGGCCGCCAGGTGCGCTGCCGCGTCGGACTGCGTGAACTGCACGTCCACGATTGCGGATTTCACCGCGTACTTGAAGTTGGCACGGAAGTCCTCAAAGTGGCCTATGGGTAGGGGCGGGAGTTGGGTACGGAAGGAGATGGGGAAGCAAGGAGGGCGGGAGAGTGGGAACTACGTGGAACAATTGCAAGGAACGTAGCACCACGCCTCGCTAGGGAAGAGCAAGGGCCCAATGTTGATACAGCCGCCTTCAGGAATAATCGCGTGGCTCTGTGGACAGGGGCTCTTCACCGTAGGCAGCCCTTGGAAATAAATACTACAACCATGCAAGCTGCTGTGCCCCCCCCCAAAAAAACCAAAACAACAACTGCGGCAGTGGAACCCACCGTGCGCATACGTCGCGAGCCGCTGGGTGACGTCGCCGCCCACGCGCTTGTAGATCTTGCGCCTGTAGGCATTGATGGAGTGTGCGCGTGCAAGGTGTCAAACACGCGGTCAGCGGGGGCGCTGTTACACGAACACTGAGGCCAACATCTTGCACGCAAAGCATCTTGCACGCAAAGCATCTTGCACGCACCAAACAGACGACCATCGCAGCAAACTGCTCTTGAGAAAACGCCGCATTTTCACTTCGCCGAGCAAGTGGATCTAACTATCGCGCGAAATTAGCTGGTTGAAATTCCTTCACTAGAACTAAGGCGGTTTTGCTCGGTTGACCTTAAACCAAGGTAAGAAGATATAAAGCATGGGGGAAGACCGCCCCCTTCCCGCCCTTATCTCCCGTCCGGCTCTTGCCCTGGCCAGCCTACAGTCCCCGCACACCCTGACCTCGCCACAACGCCCCCCATTACAGCAGAACTCACTTGAAGGCATCATCTAGGATGTCAATGCTGGCAAACGGCTGCTTGTTTACGTACTCGGCGTAGCGCGCCTCCGTCTCGCACTGCATGTATGTGTGTGTGTGTATGTGTAAGAGAGAGAGAGAGAGAGAGAGAGAGAGAGAGAGAGATGCGCGGTGGACGGCACAGCGAACAAGTGGGATGTCGGTGTCCCCCCAAGAAAAAAGGGCCCATGGCTCGGGCTCAGAATAAGGACCAGGGAAGAAAGGGCCACAGTATCCGTTGCCGAGATGCGAAGCACCAAACCCACACGGCCGCAACCCCAGTTGCTCTAGCCCCAGCCCTCCTGCACAGGCCCCAAGGCGGTGGGCACGACCTGTGCGATGGTAACCACAAAAGGACTTCGGCTTTGGCCCTGGCAACAACGCCCTCTTGTTGCCATTAAGGTATTTGGATTTCATTTTCATCCCGTGGCCATTTGCTCTCCCTATGGCACCCCCGGCGGCAGCAGGGCTACCAGAGCCCAAGGATTGGACCGCCCCGCTCACCTCTTCGCGCCGCCGCCTGGCCTGCCTCAGCCTGCGAGGATTGCATTGCAACAACCGACATCCGAAACAGCGTCACGGCTGGCGCATCATACGCAGTTAAAATGTATCGCACACATAAGTTGGCTAGGCTGCTGCAAAAGGTGCTCCCCGCCTCGCACGGTTCTCTTCCTTGTCCAATAGCTGGCAGGCATTTCGGCAGTTGATGCGGCCCAACTATCGGAAACTTTGCGACCTCGTGGCTTGCTGTAACCCTGGTGCGTGTGGTGGGGCACTGCCGGTGTGGTATGAAGAGCGAAGGCACCAGTGGCGCCAGCCAGTTCGCAAGTCCTGGTGCCGGGTCAACCCCAAGCATGCGGCAGAGGAACCCCTAGACAGCTGGCTGCCATGCCCAGCATTTCCTGCCTGCTCGGGTGGCCTTCCCACTTAGGGACTCGGTCAATACATGCAAGTGCTATCGCAGCGCGAAAGCCCCGCTGCGGCTGGAGCACCATCCCCTGGCTTTTTTCTGCTATTTCCTAAGCTCCTTTAACCTCACGGCCCACATGCAGGCTTCTTTCCAGTGAGTACACGTAGTTTAAGTGACGATCTCTCCCAATGACCAAGGGAGCCTGTTTCCCTTGTTTGGCAGTTGCTATCGTTCCAGCATACGGCGAGGCGCGCAATGCGCCTCCTTTCAACCTACACACGCACGCACAATGGCGCGCACGCACCTGAAGCTAAAGCCCGTCCTGCTCTCGTCTGCGAACAGCAGATTGAGCCGCTTGACCCACTTGGTCTTACCCGTGGAGGCCCAGGTGATGAAGTACATGTCCTGGTTCCTGTGGGTGCAGCATCACCCGTGAGTTCATGACCCGAAGGCAGAGCGTAAAAGCAGCAGCATGGATAGCACGGACAGAGCGACGTGGGAGACACGCGCACAGCGCAAGATATGCAGGCAGGTAGACAGGATTGTCAGAGGTACGGGTGTTGAGCCGTGCATGCTTCAGGAAGGGCGCTTCAAGGCATGGGTCAAGCGCAGCTTCCGCAAAGACCCCAGACCAGGGTTTAATCATTTCATTCATTCATTCACTCATTCATTCATTTATTGGAAGGCTTGTCATTACCCAAGTTACCGTACTAAGCAGGCCATTCGGGGGTTCAGAATGTGTCATGCAAGGCTTGGCCACACAGGCGTCTGGGGTTTTGAAAAAGGTTAGGGGTCGCTGCGGAGCTGGGATCTATTTATTGATAAAGAAGGAGGACGGCCGATCTGGGTCGATGGCGTTCTGCATGCCAGGCAGGCCTTCATAGCATCGCATCGTCCGCCACGCTGGCCGGTCTCGCGGCGGCCGTGTCGTTTCGGCGCCAACCGAGCGGCAACCGGCCATGTGCACACGCCATGAGAGCAGCCCGCCGACGCAGTCGCTGAACCACTCCAGCACGCGCCAGGCTGCGGAGTTTCGCACAGCGAGTAGCACCCCCGTGTGGAACATCCGGCTAGGGGCCAACGCAGCGCGGTGGGCAGCCGAAAGTAAAGGGGAGCCCCGCGCACAGGCTTCCCCCCAGCAGGCTTTTTTCCCCGGCGCTGTGCTGACCCGAGTGCTGGCCATCCTCCGCAAGGCCATGCGATGCCATATCGCTGCCGAGTGGCGCGGCAGCAGCTGCCTTTATCCTCCCTTTCAGGAAGACCACGGCAAGAGTATACCGCTCCGTGGCTAATCCTTATCCTGAGCGCGACTGCCGGATAACTCCAAGAGCCCCGGGGTGCATGCAACGAACCAGACTGGCGCTGACCACAGCCGCTTCGCACCTCCTGTGCAGCTGCTGGTGGGTTCGGTTGGAGCGCCGTGGCTCCGCTGCCTGGCCCGCAAGACATGCCTGCACCGTCGCCGCTGTCCAGCCACAGCATACAAAGCTTATGGCAGGGCTGCCGCTTTACCAAAGCTTTACCCCTTGGCCCACAGTACCCTTCGCAAAATCCAACATGCATTTCTCCTCTGCGCACCGGTTGCAGACCCTCGTTTTCTACCTTTTGGCGCTCTCGCGCGTGAGGAGTTGCGCACCTGTCGTACTCTCTAACGAAGCATGGAGCCCACGAGAAGGACCCTTTGGAGTCGAAGTAGCGGCTATACGCCAGCACACCGTCCGGGCCTTTCCCTCCAGCCGCTGGCCCGCCAGCCGCCGCCGCCTCCAGACGCTGCTCGGGAGAAATTAGCTCCATCTCCGGGCTGTCAAAATACTCTAGGGGCATGCTGGTGGTGGTGCGCACCGGCAGCTGGCCTGTGCGGGGCCGCAGCCGGGTGCTGAACTGGGTTTCCTCCACGGGCACCCAGCCCAGCGGGTGCGCCGGCTCCGACTGAACCTCCGCAACGCCTGCAGCGCTGGCGGCGGCATCGCCGGCTGCGGCTGCCGCCGCCGCCTCTGAGCCCATGATGAAGTAATCAGCCAGAGCGGATCCTTCCAGCGGGCGCGGGGGAAAAAGGTCGGATGCGGTGGCTGGGTCGAAGAAGTACTCACATCTGGGAGGTCTGCGGGTGAAGGGCTGCAGGGTCGCGGGCGGCGGCGGGCTAGGGGGTGCTGAAGGGGTGATGCCATTCGTGCCGTTGGCAGCGGTAGCTGCGGCTGTAGCGCCGTTGCTAGGGCTGGTGGGGCTTCCGGGGGCTCCCTTGGGGCTGGTGGACCCCCGAGGGGAGATGTTGGGAGCACCTGGTGGGGAGGCTCGCTGAGGGAGTTTGAAGGCTGCAGGGAGGCTGCCTGTGATTCGTGTGGAAGGGAGGGAAAGGGGTAGGGCAATGGGGAGTATGGGGGGAAGAGAGGAGAGGCAGGCGTCTAGGGCATACGGTTTAGGCTTTTGCTGGTGCGGTTGCGGTAAGGAGCCCATGCATCCAGCCAGCGTGATGCTGCACGAGCCGTTCCGGCCTCTCTCGAATACATGTGCACCCTTGCCGTCCGGGTTTGCCATCTCAGGGAATGTGCAGATATGCATGCCCATCACCATGGCACTCGTGGGGTCAACCTGCATACCCGCTTGCGCCAGGCCGCCGTGAGGCATGCAGTACCCTAGCTCTTACCCGGGGGAGGCTTGTTTGCCTCCTGCTTCAGGCTTCGTTCCACCAGCAGGGAGTTGCCAGACTGGACCGCCGACTCAAAGAGAGCTTTAGGTAGCTTTACCTGTTTTGGGTTCCCAGGAGCTGTGAGTTGTCCCGACGACGACATTCAGAGGGATCGCCCCCAAAAGGTAGACGCACCTGAACCTTCGCCGGAACCTGCTTCTTGCTCTGCAGTGTTTGCTTGACAGGCCTGCGGCCGGCCGTTATGTCGCGTTCGTAAGTCAGGTGTCCGCTGGTGCATGTTGCTCAAATTTGCTATCGCACCTTTTGGCCGTGCCAGTGTTACCGGCATCATCCCAATCCATCTTTATCGTAGTCAAGCGTTAATGTCTCCTAACATTGTTACACGAGTGCGACAACATAGTCAACTTCCCGAATAAAGGCGTTAGCATTAACTTTGGTTCAATCATAAAAATAAGTAGGAGGCATCATCACGGATGCTGTAATGCGCCTTGCAGAGGCAGGGTACCGTTCCTCGTCTAAGTCCGTACAAACGTCAGAAAGTGCTTCAATCGAAAGGTTTACCATCTTGCCTAGCAAATTTAACGAGCCATACAGCGTATCGTGAATTACGCGTAGCGCATATTGTTCTGCAGATCTAGTTTGGGTGGCTAGGTTTCAGTGCTTTGTATTGTGGCAACACTTCTACCTTGCAGTTAACATAGATCAGCAAGCGACATGAATTTTCTAGCGAGTACAAGTTGTACAGGAGATGGCTTGTCGACGTCGTCGTCATCAATTAAGGAGGGCGATTGTGTAATCGTGTATGAAGGAATGAATTCTATGAAAGCTGTCTACGTTTCGACCAAGGGGCGCTACGATAATCGATTCGGTACCTTCAAACACGAGGTCCGTAGATTACCGACGATTGGCGGCCGCCGCCGCGGGCTTCCGGAGTATTTTCCTCATCGCCAGAAGTCCTCCTTGCATGCATTATGCTCCACGGTCTCATGTCATGGAGCCGCAGACGCCCGTCGACCATGGCACTGCACTGCGAACACGTCGCTTTTTGCACCAACAGCTCCGGGCAGTCTACTCGGCAACCACTACACCGCATCCTGCCAACCATTGTTCACTCCCCCCAGCCTTTCCCCTCATTCCCCCTTTCCATCTGCACCTGGAGCCTCGTAATATTACTTGTACACACCTTGATCTTATCTTGCCACACAGTCCTGGATTGGCAAGCCGTTCGGCAGCAAGGTCACCTCTAGCAACAAAGGGGCGAGCGGATGGGTTCTGCTGCTGCGGCCAACCCCGGAGCTCTGGACGCAGGTTCTACGTCACAGGTGCGCACAAGCGAGCCCCCACTACTAGCCCTGCTATTAACGCTACCCCCGGCACGCTACCGCCCTTTCCACCGCGGCGGCACCCCTGCTGATGCGTATGCTGTAGTGTAGTTGATGTGGTCTGGATGCCTTGCAATAACATTTTCCATGCACTCACAAACGAACACTGTTAATTATTAACAGTAAACGAATGGGCCCCGCCTGGAGAAATCGGTCACAATAGGGAAAATTTATACATGTTGCACACAGGCCTTTCCGGACTTAAAACAAAAAAAGTACCTCTGTATCCATTTGGCAGTGTGTGCGTTGACGTTTCAGTTGGCATGGTCAGTTCATCGTCCAACTCACGACATCGGAAGCCAAGATCCCTCTCATGATCCGTCCCCTGTTGCCGGTCGCGTTTGGCACTTGGGGATACTGCACTGCTCTGCTGTGTCGCGGGCCTTGCCTGACCTCTGCCTATTTGTCCCGTGCAGGACCCAGATCTTGTACCTGGCGGATATCTCCATGGTGGTGACCCACCTGGATCTCAAACCTGGTGAGTGAGGTGTGCGGATGGTGGGGTGGGTGGGTGGGTGGGGGGTGAGTGATCGGATCTGCGATACCGGGGGATGGGGAGGTTGTCGGGGGAGGTATTTGAGTCGTAGGTTCGGACGGGAGACTGCCATCATCAACTTTGTGGCAAGATCGAGGGGGGCCGCGCCACCCGGGGGGGGGGAGGCCCGCGAGTTTGATGGAATGATCAACCGCAGGGCCTTATAGCAACGCGCGTCAGAGCAAGGGTCAGCCGCCGGCATTTGAACCCCCGCGAGGTTTGTATGTGGAACGAAAGGAGAAAGCTGTCCGAATGATGGCCTGTGCACGAGTCCAAGGCTGTGTCTTGTCTGCACACTTAAGAAGTAAAAAATGCTGCTGTGCAACGTTAATGAAGACCGTTAGGAAGAAATGCCGATATGGGAAAACGTTATGACGAGACGGCAAAAGCTGTTGGCCGGCCGCATTCACATGCGTTTGTATGTGTGGTGTGGTGTGGCAATCCAGAACTCCTGACCCTCTCTCCCCGCACATTCCCCCACCTCGCACAGGCAGCGTTGTCCTGGAGAGCGGTACAGGCAGCGGCAGCCTGACGCACTCGCTGGTGCGCGCAGTAGCCCCCACAGGGCACGTGCACACGTTTGAGTTCCATGCAGGACGAGCCGGTGAGAGGGGCAGGGGGGGCTCCGGGTGGGTATGAGCGGTGCCCCCGGGTGTGAGGGGACAGGTGGTATGTGCTACTAGTACATCATAGTAGTAGAAGTACTTCAAGAGGGGTGCACCTGTTGCACCGTTTGCTTTTACCCTTGTGACTGCGCTCTATAATCAAAAGGTTTCCGTTGTTGCTGTTGTTTCCCCCACAGCCGGTGGGATGGGGGGCTGTCCAAGGTCAGCGTGCGGGAGGTTATCACAAATACTAGTCCAACACCTTTTGGATTAGGCTTGGAATGAAATGGCTTTACCTGGCCACACACACACATCGTTCAGAGTGGCTCATTTTGCTTGTCACGGCCATTTTCCCCCAGCCCACTCCCCCACGTGTCCGTCCGTATTTCTGTCCGTCCTCTCGCTATGCTGTCGTCATAATGTCGTGGGCAACCTGATATCCTTCGCACTAATCAGAGGACGCGGCTGCGGAGTTCAAGCAGCACGGGCTGTCCGGGTTGGTGACGGTCACTCAGCGCAATATTGAGGAGCTCGGGTTTCCGGACACCCTTCATGTAAGGAAGGACGGAGGGAGGGGAGGAGAGGGGAGGGGAGGGGAGGGGGTTTCGTCGAGGGGCCGGTCTTCAATACGGCGGGCGGGGTGTCAAAAGGCCGGGCGGGCGTACAAGTGGGCGGAAGCGGGCAAGGGTGTAAGGCGATCGGAGCTTCCTAGGAGAAAAGAGTGTGGGCCCATTCTTACATGAGAGAGTGAGGCCCCGACGGGTTTTCCGACGAGGGTTGTTTGTTTCGCGTCGAAGAAAGGAGTATGGATGATGGCTTTGAGGTGCCTTTCTTCATCCGTTTATGGTTACACCATTTTCGGACGACAGCTTGTGTCTCGCCGTGTAAACGCGACCTTGGGAATATCCTTGAAACATTTTTAATAACACATGCTAAATTAGCCTTCTGACTTTACCCCTTCCCCCTCCCTCCTGCTCGTGGGCAACTCCAGGGCGCCGCGGACGGCGTGTTTCTGGATCTGCCCGCACCCCACAAGGTGGTGCCCTCGGCCGCCGCCTGCCTCAGGCCCAACGGCCGCTTCTGCGCCTTCAGCCCCTGCATCGAGCAGGTGCAGCGGACCGCGGAGGCCCTGTCCAGCTCGGGCTTCACCGACCTCATCACGTACGAGTGCCTGTTGCGGGAATGCGAGGTGAGGGCGGCCTGGGGCGCTGTACTGGGTATGTGCGTGTGCATGTAAGAGTGTGTGCGTGTGTGTGTGCACACTACAATTGAGCTGCTGCGCAAATGCGGTGCGCAGCCACTACCCGAGCTGTGGCCCAAATTTTCCTGAACGTCTAATCCTTCCTTGGACGGCTCCCAGTCCGGTTCGGTCCGGTCCGAGGTGGTGGTCGTTGTCGTGACCTGGTGACTCGTGAGAGGTCGTGCTGAGAGGCGACTCCATTGCTCTCCTCAACTCCTCATGGTGGGCTACATGCGCCGTGTTCCTGCTACCTCTGTAAGTGCTGCTACTGCTGCTGCTGCTCAAGATTTCTGTCAAGATGTTGCTGTCCCGGTCCCGGTCTTGCTATCGATCCCTCAGGTCCACCGGGAGACCCTGGTCACCAGTCTGCAGCTGGCAGAGGGGCCGCTCAGCAAGCGCCGCAGGACCGACCCGGCTCCCCCCGGGCCGCAGCCCAAGATGGCGGTCGAAGGCCAGCAGCAACAGCAGCAGCAACAGCAGCCGGAAGCGGCGCGACCTGCTGCTGGTGAGGAGGCGGCAGGCGAGGAAGGCGTGTCGGGAATGGAGGCCGCAACGGCTGCAGAGGCGGAGGTACCAGCAGCAGCAGCAGCAGGAGGAGGAGGAGGAGCTTCAGGGGTGGATTTGGAGGATGTGGGTGGCGTTGCTGGGGGCAAGACGGGAGAGAAGGCGGGCGCGGTCGGGACCAGTGCGGAGACGGCATGTGGGCAGGAGGCGAATGAGCCGCCGCAGGGGCAGGGGCAGGGTGCAGCACCTGGATGTGCTCTGGCGGCTGCGGGTGATGCGGCTGTCGGTCGGTCGCGTGTCGTGTCCTGGCGGCCCTCCGCGGAAGCCCGAGGGCACACGGGGTACCTGATCTTTGCCCGGAAGTTTGTGTGTGGGTGAAGAGAGAGGGGGGGCTAGGGAATGTCCATGAGCCGCGTTAACGTGCTTAATGCTGAGAGCTGGGCTGGAGAAAAGGTTGACACTGATTTACGGGTGGGGGTAGTGAGCGGAAGATCGCACAGGTATGGTGTATGGCAAGGCATGGATGCAGGGGAAAGGGAGGGAGGCGATGGCAAGAAATTTTGAGCCAGTCCACGCCCGGGCTGTTAAGCGTGCACACCCCTCTGGCGGTTGCTGGAAACGCTGGCAGCTTTTGGAAGACCTCTTTTGGCTGTGCTTGTTCGCTTTGCGTCCCTTGCCTCGGTTTGCGGTAATTGCAAACCAAAGCGCTGAAAGCCGTCTGTGCCGATATGCGGATGGATCCACACATCCGGATCGCGGGCTGTAGAGGATTTGGGGGGAATGCTTTTAGAAGCTTTCCTTCCGAAGGTTCGTTTACCACGGCGGCCATGGATTAGTGGATGCTGCTGGATGACCTGCGATCAGCTCTGTGCGGTGGTTTGGGGTTTGGGGTCATTGCCTGTTTAGGCGGCGGCTTGTATGTGCTGAGGGTGCTAGGTGGTCTTGAGAAGTAGCGGATCCGCCCAGGTGAACCAGCGGTGTGAGCATTCGTAATCCCTGTCTCCAGTCCCCTGTCTACAGTGCTTGCTTGCTACACATAGGTGAGCTTGGATCGCATCCAAATGGAGCTACCCCTGTCCAAGAGGACACGTCGCGATAGCCGAAGGAAACAAGAGCTGCAGCCTCCGTCAAGGCGCGGCACCCGCTTGCTTTACACGATATCCAACGGCAGAATGAGAAAACTAGCTACAGCCTTCCTACATAGTTGAATCCGGTACGTGAAAGGTTTATTTACAAAACTTGTCGAACATGCAGAAGCAGCGTGCCCCGCAGTTGTTCTTCGGTTGGTGGAGGAGGAAGGCGGCGTTCTGTCAGACAGCCATCGGCTGTCATTCACGTTACTTGTACGACACCTGTCAGTCTGCTCCCTCTTTCCGCTCATGCCCCTGATGCTGTAGCCTCTTGCCCTCACACGTCAGCCTTCTGGCCTTTCTTTATATCGCCTCCAAGCAATACCGAGCAAAATTTCTATCACCTAATTTCCAAGCGTACCAAGCGACCCTGCCAAGAGACAGCTTACGCCTCCTGTCGTTGGATAAGGCTCTGGCAATCGGCTGCCGACATTGGCCGGTTCGTAAGGTGGTTGACTCGCATGCCCGGCGGTTCAACTTGAAAATGCGGGAGCGGCTCCGCGCAATTTCCGAAGCGTTCACGACCTGACCGACTGACTGGACTCGACTTCGTCTAGCTTCGTGCGCTTCAGTGCCACTACGGGACTCTCCTCCTCCTCCTCCTCCCCGGACCTGCAGACCTGCTTTAACTTGGACTGCCAACCCTCTGCACTCAGCGAACAGGCTGGACGATAGCCACTTCGGCACACGCACATTCAGCTAAAACTTTCATTCAGCTAGAGCCATCCTTTACCCACTTCTCTGTCTGTCTGTCCGTCCATCGGTCTGGAGGCATGACGCCTCCATCGCGGCGTGAGGGCGCCATGGCTGCCGCCACTTGCGCTGGGGCCACAAACGCCGCTGCCGATGGGTCATCATCATCATCATCAGCAGCAGCAGCCGCGAGAGCAACATCGGGCAGTCTGGCGGTACCTGGCGGCTCAGCGCCTGGGCCGCATCGCGTATCAGTGTGCGCCCACCAAAGACAGCGCCGTAGCGGGTGGGTCCGTGTGCTGCGCTTCGGCTTCGCTGCACTTCTAGATGGCTGCGGCCTCCTGGTCCTTACCTCCACCCTCCTAGTATTGCAAGTACCCACCGCTGCCGGTGCCGCATCGGTCGATTCCAACAAAGTCATAGACGACCCCGCTTTGCCGGCGGCGGCGAGCGCCGTCTCCTCCGCCTCCTCCGCTGCCAACCGAACGATCCCTCCGTCATCAAGGCTACATGGGCCACTCGGGCAACAGCAGCTGCATGAGGTCTTCAGGGCAGCGGCTCCACGGGACAGCATTGCTGTTGCTTCTGGTGCTGCCGGTGCTGATGCGGTGCCGACGGTAAGTAGTGGCGCTGATAAGTTCTGTTCCGTGAGGCGGGCGGGACTGGAGCAAATTGCGGTGGTGCGATGGCGCGATATGTATTGTCATCCCAGACTGGAGAGCGTTTGCGAATGAGCTGCATGTTTTTTTCGTAAATGCGCACCAACCTCGGGGGCCCTTCGGTTTATTTATAAAATACGAGATGGACATTGGCTTTTAAGGGCGCCGGGAAATGCGTAACGACGGAAGGCCCCCCTATAGCTGTGGCTAGCTTTGGGCCTGGGCGTACGACAAGGTTCTTACTGGACGCCACATTAATGCCAGTTGACCCCGGCTCTTACGAGACCCCCCGGCGCCGGTGTGAAACTACTTGTAAGGTAACTTAGGGTGTGAAAGGCCAAGTAAAAGATATTACCGGTCCTGCTGCCCGTGCCTAACCCAAGTACTGTATAGGCCTGGTAGTGGGTACCAAACCTTGGGATGCGCCAACATCCTCCTGGGGGGCCGGGTTGTCACCTGCCTACGCGACAGGTCCGCGGTGTTGGTGTTGGCGGCAGCGTCCCCACGCTTGAGAGCAACGGCCGTGTTGGCGGCAGCAACGCCAGCAGCAGCAGCAGCAGCAGCAAGCTGTCCTTGCTGATGGCGGCATCCACTGCATCTTCGGTGCAAGAAGGTGGCGGCGCATCACGGAGTCTGTTGGGGGATGGCGGTGGCTGCTGCAGCCGGCTAACGTCCGGGGCTATTGGTTTTACCAGCGGGCTGCCGCTGCTGCTGATCGACACCTGGGGCTCCAAAGTGACCACCAGGGACAAATCTGTACGGGGCACCGTGTGCAGCTGCAGGTGCGTGTGGCGAAGAATAAATAAAGCGAAAAAAGCAATATAAACAAAACTTTTTCTTTAACTCTAACTTTCTCTTTAACTTTAACCTAGCCCATGTTATAGACTAGAATTCGAGGCTCCGAACCAATTCCGAGCCGTAATGAGGGCTGTGTTTAGCGCGTGCGTAATTGTCCCGCCGAGCCCGCTCTGCATTGCCAGTCAACCATCGCCGTGAAGCCATCTGATCTCCTCATGGCTAGGTTATGGCTCACCTCGTGACGGTGCCGCATCATGGGAGCAATTGTGTCGCCGGTGGATTCGGAGGTTACATTTTAGTGAAGGGAAGGTGGGGTGAGTGGCGTGCATTGGCATTGGCATTGGCGTGCGAGCCCCCTCCTCCCCCTCGTCCTCCCCCTCCCCGTCCCCCCCCTCCTCCCCCTCCCCTTCCTGCTACCTCAACGTTAGCAACGTTACCCCTCACCCCGGCCGTGGCCTCCCGTCTCCCCGCCTCCTCCTCACAGTCCGTCTGGCGGCAGCTGGGACGGCAGGGCGTACCAGGACTTCACCGCGGAAGCCAACGTGAAGCTGCGAGGAAGCAGCTCCGTGATGAACAGCAAAAAGAGTTACAATATAAAATTCCGGACTGCGGGTTCGAACGGGGGAACTGCCAAACTTATGGTGGGTAGAGGGCGAGTACATGGGCTAGAGGAATGTGGGCGGCAGGCACGTAGCGGAGAGGGTTGCAGATTGCAGCAAGTGTGCGCATCTATGTATGTGGGAAGGTTACTTATGTGGCATATATACGAAAATCGCGGAGGATAGTTCAGATGGGTAGACGGGTGGCCGGAACAGGAAGGCGGGTTGAGGGCCCCGGGGCGGGTTCTTGGGGACATCGGGGTCAATAGCTTGTTGTGGCCCCAATGATGGTGATGATGATGATGATGACCGTCCACATCGGCATCCACTTCGCCAACAAGCCCTCTTGCACCGCCGTGGTGGGGGTTCATGGTGCCGTACACTCGGTGGGCCATTTCCAGCTTAACGTTGCGGTGCATGGGCATCTAGAGAGTAAAACAATGCATGACGCACACTGTGCTTCGTTGACCATGTCTGCTGTACCGCAAGGTTTAGATCCCCTACTTTGAAAATTGCGCAACGACCGTGCTTTTGGTGGGTAAAATTACAGGAGATCTAAGAGGCCATTTTCTTTGCTTCACCTCACTGCTGTGCAATCGCGTGCTACGGATGATGCCGTGCAGGTACCCGTACTTGGCATGCCGGGCAATAACGAGTGGGCGCTGTACGGGCCCGAGACTGACAAAACCCTGGGGATGCGCAATATGCTGGCGTACGACATTTTTCGCCGCATGGGGCGCTGGGCGCCCCGCACCCGGTACTGCGAGGTACGGAGGCTTGCTGTGTACGGCGGTACGGCTGAGGTCAAGATTCTTGCGAATATTTGTGTACACCTGTTTGGAGAGTAGCTGTGCCTCGCGCGCCCAGTGCCACTGGCCCAGAACACAATCTGCAGGTTCTGGCTATAGTGTAGCTATCATACAGTACGACATACTTTCAATATTTGCGCGCGAAAATGCTCTGCCAGCATTTTGTGAGGCCTTTTCGGTGGTCAGCTACTTCACCGGGCTTCCCCCCCATCTCCTTCCCCCCCATCTCCTTCCCCCCCATCTCCTTTCCCCCCATCTCCGGCCCCTTTACTTCGGGTCCACAGCTCCCCCATAATTTATTTGATTCGGTCTGGGGCAATCTGCGTCTTACCTTTCCTCTCAAAGCTTCGCTTCATTTCGTAGTTTGTATGGACAATCCCCACCCGACCCCTTCATGCCCCCCCTGGCACCCCCCTCCCCTTGTCCCCCCTTCCAGGTTTTCCTGATGGATGACGGTTCGGGCTCCGTGCGGCCCTCCCACTACCAGGGGCTGTTTGTGGTTACGGAGCGTGTCACGGTGGGGCCGGAGCGGGTCAACGTGAGGAAGATGGACCCCGATCAGGACCTGTCAGGTGGGTGGGGGTGGGGGGGAGGAGGTGGCAGTTAGGTAGGGGGAGGGGGAGGGGGAAAGACGAACCACAAACGAGTGAAGCTGCGGCCAGGGCAAGAGTGTACCAGACGTAGAACTGACCGAAAGGCGTCCGTGAAGACGGCGACCTCGGGATGACGTAGTGAAGCTGATGTCGGAAAAACTACCTACCTAAGCCGCCAGGACTAAAAAAGCAGAGAAAGCAGTAATGCCAAGCCGTAAAGAAGTAGGTATAGGAAAGTAGGTGTAGAGGCGGCGGAGAAGTAGTAAAGCAATGCTGTCGTAAAGCTGGAATAAAGAGGGGGAGGGGAACGGGGAGGAAGGTAGGGATGGCGCGCTTACCGGAGCTGGCAGGTGCGCTCCACGTGGCCGACCCCCACCCTGAGGGGGGCTCCTCAACTGCGAAACATCCCCTTCACTCACGCGGCGTCCCACACCACCATCATCACCATCATCATCACCACCACCACCACCACCATCATCACGCCCACCACTACCATTATCACCATCATCACTACCATTATCGCCATCATCACCACCATTATCACCATCATCACCACCACCACCATCATCACCATTATCATCATCATCACCATCATCATCACCACCACCATCATCACCAGCATCGCCAAAGTCAGTGGACTGCGGCGGATGAAGTCTTCTTCTGTGGGGTCCTCCCCCCCGATGGGGTCAGTCCGCCTGAACCAGCCCGCCACACCACATCATTGTCATGATGGCGCAACCCACACACTGATGATTGGCCCCATCAACTCGCAGTTGCCGAAACTCCCCTCCCCCTGCCCCTGCCCCTGCCCCTGCTGCCACCTGAACCGCCACTGCCGTCCAGGTGGTTACGTGCTCGGGTTCGAGAACGACAACATCGACCTCACCGACCTCACCTTCCGCCCCGCCACCTCGCTGCTGAATATCGTCATGCACGAGCCCACGTTCGAGGACCAGGTGCCCCGG